TATACAGAAGAGGATTGAGCTAACAGTGAAATAACTCCTCATTATTCTCTATAGTGTTTTTCAGGAGCGTAAAACTTCATTTCGTTGAGTGATTTAAGTCCGGGCCGGGAAAGGGTTTACACAGGTGCACTGTTTTGTCAGTCCCTCTTCACGGGCAAAATGGATTTGTAGGGCCCCTGCAGATATCTATCCCCCCGCCCAACTGCTTAAAGTATTTTGTGGTCAAACATTTAATTCTTGGCTAGTGAGCGTAAATTAATATGTAAATGTTGCGGAATTGATCAAAACCATAACGGAACAATGGTGCCAAGAGAGTGAAAGGCGCTGGGCGTAGCACCACTAGGCAAAGGCCTTAAGATATTTTTTTAAAGGCTCGAGCATGGTTTTGCAATTTGCCGGTTTATATGGATGAGCAAATTTTAAATCGACAGCCTATATAAATGGCCTACAATGCTAAAAACAATCGCGAACATCTTTGACGAAAGAAGCAAAATAACAGCGCGCCAAGCACGCTGTCCTGAATAACTCCAATCCTCATATGTGTGAGGCTGGAGGTAACCTTGAGAATTTTAACTCGTTGTTTGCGAGCACCAACTGGGAGGATATTACATTCAGAAGTTTGTTAACTTTGCCGAAGAGCACAAGTTTCAGGAGGGGGTATCATGGTGCAAACGAATAAAGCCTTAGTGAAATCGAAATGGACGTTTTAAAATGCAAAACCGTTGTCTCTAGGTTGAAGCACATGATCAAAGAAAGAGAGCTGACAGGTATCATCAGAAATTTTTTGCAGGAACCCATGCTGAGCCGCATTAGGTATATTGTTCATTGTTAGGTGACGCAGTATTTTGTCTCTGATCAAGCTCTCCAAGAATTTCGAGGCAACGGGAAGTCTATTCTTTGATCTAACATTTTCAAATGATGTGTATCGGCCGCGCTTGGGTAGTAATAATAAGGTTTATTTGGAAAACACATCTTCGGTGCCGTCGAAAAACCCCGGAAAGCAGGAAAAAAGCTAAAACAAGCCCCTTCTTTTGCAGTCCCTATTGGCTTTGTTGTATCTCATGCTTGGTCAATAGTGTGCGAAATAAGGAGTTTGGTTTAAGTGGAAAAAATGACTTCAAAGGTACAACACTAGCAAAACATGAAATAAAATAGCCATACATTATACGTGTTAGTGTTACTATATCACATAGAAAGAATACTTTGGGTCTGGAAAAACTGTCACGTCCTTTAACTGTGGTGGATTTAGCCGCGGTCAGTTTGAAGGCGAAATAATCAGCTGAGGGCATC